TCAGAGGAAGGTAAAGAAATCTACTCATTCATTTGAGTTTTTGGTTCTGAGTTCTGCAGTGCTGGGGAATGAGACCCAAGGCTGAAGTTACAAATGTAAATGTTTACACTTCTGACAAACACCCAGAAAGTTTGGATTCACTTGCTATCTTCATAACTAATGAACCATCACATAACTTTACGATATGCGCTAGCTTCAAAAGGAGGCATCTAGTATTTCCTATCGTTTCTAGGTAAATAAGATGAAAAGAAAAATATCTTTAAAAAATACAAACCTAAGCTGATTACCCTCAAGATTTGACCGTTTGAGACTTGGAATCTATGATCTTCATCTCTTGGCTAGGTCAAATAAAAAACTAGCTTCATGAAATTTTCTAAATAAGGATGAGATTTCTTATTATAATGTCTGTTGGCTTTTCTTTACTGCATTTAAAACATGGTCTTAAAACTGCTTTTGTCAATATTAAAGAGCAAATGATTCTGTACTAGGAAAGCACAGAATTCCAGTGGACAATCCATCCTCCAGGCAGGCAGGGGATCAAAAGTGGAGAATGGCAAATCCTGACACAGCTGCCCATACTCAGTTTGTGTTAAACACAAGTACATGTGGATGGGCATGTGATAGAAAAGAACAGTTGCGTTTCTGCTCACTAAAATCAGAGAACTGTTAAGGACTTTGCTTACCATTACCATTCACGTTGCTCGTCTATAAGGAAATGCCATTATAACACCGCATGGTTTCTTTTGTTTGTTTGGGTTTTTTTGTGGAATCGGGGATTGAACTCAGGCCCTTGTGCTTGCCAGGGAAACACTTATTCCACTGAGCCATCTCCCCAGCCCTCAACACAACATGTTTTAAAAGATAAAAATGTTTCAACTTCAGAATATTTTTGGATTTGAGTGGTAATCTACCATGAACTCAGAAATGCTTACTTTTTTAAATAAAAATATATTTTGAGGTTTTAAATAGAAAAACAAAAGCTATAAAGATATGTTTATCATCTATTTATTTTTATTTTTATTTTTTGTGGCAGAACCAGGGATTGAACTCAGGCCCTTGCGCTTGCCAGGGAAGTGCTTATTCCACTGAGCCATCTTCCTGGCCCCTGTATCACTTAAAAACAAAAATAGGATACCAGGAATATGCAAGTGGTAAGAAATCAAATGAAGAGCCAGTGAGGTAGCTCAGCAGACTAAGCACCAGCTTTGGTAAGCACATGGACCAGGGTTTGATCCTGGGTTCCGAATGCTGCACCAAGGTCATGCTGAACCATGACTGAGGCCAGGAGTGGTGGCACAAGCCTGTAATCCCCCAGCCTGGGGAGGCTGAAAACAGCAGGATCACAAGAAGTCTGAGCTGCTTAGTGAGACCCTGTACCAAATACATAAAATGAAAGAAAAAAAAAATCAAATGAAACACATCTGATAATAAAAATATTTATTCAAGATCCTATTAAAGTATACAAAGGGCATTGAAGTGAAAGAATCAAGTATGTGTATACTAGATTGTCAATACTCCATGATGATAATATTATATACTATAAACATATGCTAACCAAAAAACTTAAAAATATACAAAGAGTAAATTTATCTTGGGATTAAACCAAAGAAACAATTAAAGTACATGTTACTCCAGTGATAAGGGTTGTTAGTCCAGCAGTATCAGCCTGGATCTTGACACAACTGACCTCCTAATAGCATTCCTCATAAAGGGTTTATTCTAGAAGTTAAAAATCAAGTGTAAATTCAACTTTGAAGTTCATAAAATGAAAAATGTCGCATAGTTTTAAAAATTTACTTATTCTAAAGGATCTGACATGGCAGTAGAGGAATAAGTACAGGTATAGCAGTAACTCTGAATGGAAATAATCCTATAAAATACAATGCTGGTAAGCAGACGCTCATTTTTTGTAACAGAAATGCTCCAATGTACAAGAAGATAAATCAAAAACTACATTTTTATCCTAAAGTTAGAAAAAACAAGCTTTTCTATAAATAGGAAAGAAAAGATGCTTTTGGATAAAATGAGATTTTGCTAAAATGCTTCCTAAGAAGAAAAAGCTTTCAAACCAGACTTTGGGGGGATAATGTGTAAAATAAAACAGCATTTAGGCCAGATTCTCCGGCTTTCCCCCTCCAGAGACTCACCAATGATCAGCCAAAACAACAGGAATGCGCAGAACAGCACTTCTTCCACTGGTTTAAAAGAAATTGTTGGGCCAACCAAATAGCTCAGTGGACTAAAGCGCCTGCAAGCAGGTGCAGGGAGGGGGGTGGGGGGTCAGTCGATCCCTGGCTTGCCCTGCCAGCCCGCCCCCAGAGCCCACTGAGATAGCAAGGCAATTGAGACTGGGTGTGGTGGCACATGTCTGTAATCCCAGCTCTTGGGAGGCTGTAAACAGTCAGCTCACTATGAGTCTGATCTAGTAGTGAGATCCTGGACACCCCGTAGACCTTTCCCTAAAATACAAAAATAAATAAATAATAAAATTAAGGGTCCTACAAAGAAAACATATTCTAAGGTGAAATGGGAGGGCCGGGGAGATGGCTCAGTAGAATAAGCATTTGCCTGGCAAGCACAAGGGCCTGAGTTCAATCCCTGAAACAAAAAGCTTAGCCCCAGAGTAGGCAGAGCCTGCCAGAGTCCAGGCATAGTGGCAGGCCGAGCTGCGCAGTGAGACCCTGCAACAACCAAATACGTTAAAAAATTAAAATTAAAAAAACAATTTTTTTAAGTGAAATTGGTAGCATGTCAGTTCCTTAAGAGCTACCTGAGACAAGCCTAGTCGCTGCGACAACAGAGGCAAAGCAGGTGGGCGGCGGGAGTGTTTCTAAGTTTCCACAGGGTTCCATCAGCAGGCTGTAGACTCCCTGAGAAATGTAAGGAACGCTATGTTGCTGTTTGGTGATGCTTTTTTTTTAGTGGTAGGAATTTGAATTATTTAAAATGAAGTTTATTGGTACATTTTAGATATAATATATTCATCATAGGGAATTTGTACATGATATATTTTGATTTCTTTTTCCTCCAAGCCTCTTCTCATCCCTTCTTTTCCTATTTACAATTTTTTTTCCATTGTATCTTTTTAATCATTTTTTCCTTTTCCCTTCCTTCCTTTCCCCCTTTCCCCACCGTAGTTCTTCTTTTGAATAATTTCTTCCCATTTCTCAGTATGCACTGTACATTTTGGTCCTTATTTACTCTCAAAACCTTGAGTGCACAGTGAAATCACCTGCAAAGGTCTCTTCTCATTTTTTTTTTTTTTTTTTTTCGGTACTGGGGATCGAACTCAGGACCCTGCACTTGCCAGGCAAGTGCTCATTCTACTGAGCTATCTCCCCAGCCCTCTTCTCGCTCTTAATACGGTAGCCTGGGCCCCACCCAAGGCCTATGATATCAGAAGCCCTGTATGCAGCCCAGGCATTAGGACTTTGAAAGCTCCCAGAGGTTCCAATGTGTAGCCACGGCTGAGCCCCACCGAGTTAACAGTCAGAGGCTGAGGAAAGTCAGGGACGACTGTAATTACTGTCTGAACCTCGGCAGTGACAAAACAGCATTTCAGGAAGACGCTCTGTCCTGCACTAGTGCCTGCCGCCCTCCATCTCTCGTGCTCTGCACTACTCTGACCACTTCCCTGGGTTAGCACCGGGGCGCACAGGCCCGTACCTCACCCTACTCCGCTCCCTGCACGCCCTGACACACATTACACCGGCTTCAAGGGGTCTCGCCTGCCCACCAGAGCAAGGAACAGAATCTGTGTGCATCAAGCTATAAGAACCATGCTTTTAAGGCATGCTTTTTAAATTTTCCCTTAACTTTATGTATTTATGTTGTTTCATAGGTTTATAAGGAAAATATTAGGGTATAGGTAGAAAAGCACGTAAAAAGTATGTGAAGAATCAACCTCATTCATAATGTTTTTCTGCTCATGAATGAAGTTCAAATGCAGGGACCTCAGGTATCTGTGACTCCTTTCCCTTTCCCCATCAGCTCCTCTTCCTGGAGAGACAGCCAGCAGCTTGTTTATCTTGCTACCATCATTTAAAGCAAAGAGAAGCAACGCACATCGTCATATATCGGATGTATGTAGACACCATATATTTGAGGTCCTCCATCTCACTTTTTTTTTTTTTTTTTTGCGGTACCGGAGATTGAACTCAGGACCCTGCGCTTGCCAGGCAAGCACTTACTCTACTGAGCTATCTCCCAGGCCCTCACTTTGAATAGTTAATAGCATAGCTCACAGTTTCACACACAGATTTCTCAACTAGCAACACATCTTAAAGATAATTCCTTATTTATATGCCTTTTAAAATTCTTTTTTGTACCACCTAATATCCCACTGTGTAATACTGTTACGGTTTGTGTCTAGGTGTCCGCCCAAAGCCTCGTGCAGTCATGGGGCAGCTTCTGGAGTTTGTGATTGGTTATTGTGGGTGTGGAGGCCCCCAAGCTGGGGCAGGTAATTTGCATTTCAATGTCAGGAGGGAAGAGAAGCTACCTGCTCCTTTTGTGCTCTTGCTCTTCGTGGCTGCCCTGAAAGGCTGCTCTCTGCCATGTGCCTTCTGCCTTGGAGCCAGCTGAGTATGGACTGAACGGTCCAGTGACTGTGAGCTAAATAAACTTTTCCTTCCTTCATTTTGAGTGTCAGGTATTTGTCCCAGCAATGAGAGAAGAGTAACTAAGACAAATACCATTACTTTTTTAACCACTCCCTTACTGGCAGGCATTAGATTACTTCTGCTTATTTGCTACTACTACAGATGTCGGAATGAATATCCCTGCACTGAGTAATTTCATGAGTACAGTCAGATAGCTGTACCTGTAAATAATTCTCAGATGACAAATGCCATGCTCTTTCCACTGTTCCATGCAACCTCAGGCGCCCATGAAACAATTTACAGCCAGACTCATGACAGTTTGTATTTATTTTATTCAAAAACTTTGCTTTTATACCCAAAGTATGCTTTCCATTTTCAATAAAAAACTGGAAACGTTCTCCAGAATATGCTCAGAGACCAAAATAGTCTGTGAGATGGTTCCAACCACGGTAAAGTCCCAATGTGCACTGCTGCCTCTTGTTGGCTCAGAAGGTGTCTGTTCCTGAAGACCCCACGTCCTCCTGGATGGTGCTGACGCTCAGGTTTGGGGAGCAGTCCTCCAGGTTCACTGTGGGCAGTGTCACGCACATTCTGGCAGGGGATGGTTGTGAACCGACGCAGGGCACTGTCTCGCCACCTGCCCAAAGGAGAAACCCGTCAGCTCAGTCCAGGGGCCCTCACTGTTAGGTGCTTTTCCTTTTCTCTAACATGGGGCACTGAAAGCAAGGACCACATGTGGGGAATTCCTTTTCTCAAGGTGCTCAGAATTTGTCAGACATTTAACACAACTTTCCCAGTCTTCCCTTCCCTCTCACTCTTAATCAGTTAAAGACAATAGTTTAAAAACATGAAAGTGCTAAAAGTTGAGGAACAAACAGATGATAAAATATGCTAGGTAAGATGACATGGGGTTGAGAGTCTAATCTCTGAAATCCAGACTTAACCTCTCACTGGCTGTGTGATTTGGGGTGAGTTATTTTACCATTCAGAAGTTCAACTCATCTGTGAAGAGGGATAATAGTACTTGCACTGCAGAGTACATGATGAAGGAACAGTATGGTAAGGAGCTCAGCAGAGCTTACTAAGTACCCCCAAGCAAATGAGCTACTGCCCCCACTAAAAGATCACTACAGCTACCCTTAGATAAGTAGCCTAAAGTCCCTGCAGGCCAAACAGCACTGCAATGACTCTAAGATAAGAGATTTTTGTTCTTTATAGGTAGAATATTATTTTCAGGGGGTAGGTGTGAGTCATGTAGTACCTTGGTCTTCCACCTATTTCTATAAAATGGACATACCATGAACCATCATTCACTAGGTGCCTAAGCTTAGTACTATGCTATAAGCAAGTAATGTCAAAGGAAAAAATATTACAGTGGTCATTCAAAACTACTGACATTTGACATGGGAAGCAGCTTTTTCTGTAAAATAGATTTTTCTTCATTAGTTTTACATTTAATCAAACATGGAAAAATTGTACTCTATGGATTGAGAACAATATTATATCTCTTAATATAGGATCCAGTAGGTCCAGAGGGGGTCATTTCAGATGAGTATGTTCATACTAAGAGCTAGCTGTTACATATGGTGGCTATCTGACTACAGCTTAAATCACTCCTCTAAGTTTATAGCATATTACTATAAATATAAAAAATGTTAACTGGATATCATTTAAAACTACAAAAATGCTGATTTTTAAAACTACAAAAATGCTGATTTTTGAAAGTTTTTCATGTAAGTGCACAACATATTTTGGTAGTACCGTTCCTAAAACCCACTCCCCCTCATTCCATTTCCCTGGCCTAATAATGTATCTTTTCCACCTTTATGTTTTCTTTGTTTGTTTAGACTCCATGTGTTAGAGAAAATATGCAATACTTGTCTAAATCTTATTTTCCTTACATGATGATCTCTAGTATGTTCCATTTTCCTACAAATGACATAATTTTGTTCCCCTTTATGGCAGAATACTGTTCCACTGTGTACATATACCATATTCTCATTATCTATTCTATCTCATCTTAAATCTTGACTATTGTGAGTTATGCCAGGAGCCCTGGGAATCTGACATAAAGTATGCACTGAACTGAAGGAAAGGTAAGAGGAGGTTCTTCAGAAGACCAGGGCCAGGTCACATAAACAGTGTGCAATCACAAAAGATTTTGAACAGGTTTTGAACAGCGCAAATGTATTTTATAAAAGATACTTCTAATTACAGTGTGGAAAACGAGGAGCAGGATGGCTGGCCAAAACCCACAGGTGAACTAATGATCCTTCACAGTGGGCCTACAGTCAAGCTCCTTTGGAGAAAGACTAAGTCCTTATTAAGAATTGAGTTTGGCACAGAAACTCAGATCTGGTTTGACAGATCTGAGTTGCTGAGCAGGCAGTAAGACCATAAGAACACAAGGAAATGTGCAGACTACGGAGGTACACAGAGATGGGGAGATTCTGAGACCAGTTATATCCGGGGTGACTAGGCATGCTTGGAAGATATGAATGGACTTACCCAGCAGGCAACTGGAGACAGAGAGACAAAGATTTTAAAGACCGTAAGGCAGTTTGGTTTTTCTTTCTTTGAGACAAAGTATTGCTATTAGTGTAAGTGGGCCTCAAACTCATGGTGATCCTCCCGTCTCAGCCTCCCAAGGGCTGGGATTACAGGCACGGGGAAGGGATCCACTCTCACTGGCCTTACAGGCTTGCTGGGTGTAGACTATGAATGGCAGGCAAGTATGGAAAGACACATAATGTCAGGAAGTGGCAAGTGCCATGAAGGGCCAAGCCAGATAGCTCAGCAGACTAAAGCACCTGCTTAGGCAGAGCGCAGCGGCCAGGGTTTGATCCTCAGTGTGCCACGCCGATCCCGCCCCCGGGGCGCGCTGACACAGCAATTAAGACTGGGTAGGGAGGAATACACCTGTAGCTTAGGAGGCTGAACACAGGAGGACCACTAGGAGTCCGATCTACATAGTGAGGCCCTGTACACCCTGTAGACCCTGTACTAAATACATTTTTTTAAAAAGTGCTATGAAGAAAAGCAGGGAGAACAGAGAGATTTTCAGAAAGCCATGTGAATTATGTGAACCACAGTTTTCTTGACTATAAACCTCCAAGGGTTTTGTGAGGATTAAACAAGGCAACACATGGGAAGTGTGCTGGAGCGCGCTGGCCCCCAGAAGACGCTCCAGCAGGCAGCTCACACTCCCACCAGCGGAAGGGCTCCCAAGAAGCAAGGACCCTCAGCACAGGCAGCAGGGGTGCTCTGCTGTAGGCAGAGGAACGGGAGTGCTTCACTGATGTGTGAGAAAGAAAGAAAAGGCAGGAGGAGAGAGAGTGGGAGAAAGAAAGAAAAAGAGAGCGGGAAGGAAAGGGAGGAGGGAGGCAGGCAACACTTGGAAGTGCTCCGAACAGCCAAGCTATTACTTTAAACTCTAGATCACTGTGTCCTAATATATGCGTTATGCCAGTGGAATGCATAATACTGTCTAACGGCGTGTTCTAATGTACATTTTGGGGAGGCTATTTTTAGAAGTGTTCATTCAAGCAAATTAAACAGTAAGTTTTAGAATTCTACAAATTGGGAAGCCATCACTACTAATAAGCAGAAAGGACAACATCTGTATCTGGTCACGGTCTTCACAGAACTTTTAACACTTTTTTAAAAGAAAGACTAATGTCTTTTTTTAAAATATCTTAATAAATCACCAGTAAAGCAATCAGAACTCTTCTACCTACATTAACATAGTTTGATACTTTTAACTCTGACTTTTAAAATGTCCAGTTGAGTCAAAATTTCCATAGACTATGATGCAATTGTTTCAACAGCTGTTTTTAGGGCTAAAAGTGGAAAAAAAAAAAAAAAGATTCCTTGACTCCACAGGCTTATAGTATGTCATTTTACTTGGCATGCATTTAAACTAGGGATGTCATGGAATCAGACCATATGGTTAATGCTTCCTAAGATATAACTTAATATATATTTTTTGGACACCAAAATACCAAACTTTGCTTTAACTATTTAAAAATTCAAAGTAAATGTTATGTTCTCTGCTTGCACAACTAAAAGGAATTTATTCCAAGTGATACAGGTAATGATACAAAATTTTTAGTGTCCAATTTGTTACTTGGGTTTATTTACTTATTTATTTACTTATTTATCTGGTTCAGGGTCTCACTAGAAGCTCGGGCTCACAGTGATCCTCCTGTCTCAGCCTCCCCAGCACTGGGACCACACCCATGCACCACCACAGCCAGTACCAGTGGCCAGCATGGTGGCATGGCATGCAATACTAGGGATTACACTCGGGTCCTTGGGCTTGCCAGGCAGGTGCTTAGACTGCCAAGCTACCTCCCCGACCCCATTACTTGTTTATTTTATACATATTTAAAAATATAAGTAACATAGCCTTCTAAAAGCTTTTCAGGTATAGATATTCCATATCAGCAATAGTTTTGAGATTCCAACTCTCAACCTTTAATCTTAGTTATTTGCAAATGGAGAGCAACTCAAACAAAGCACTATCTCCCAAAACAACACAAGCAGAGAAAAGAAGTCATCAGTAAGTAGCTCCATAGAGGAGTACAGCAACCCCCAAGTAGTTCTTTGGACTGAACACATGTGTGAATTTATGTTGCCCTATGTGATAAACAGACAGTGGGATGAATTTTAATTGCCTGAATTTTGGCTTTTTTACCTGCAGTTAAAGGCTCGTTTATTATAAATGGTGCGTTTAAAAATAAAAGGAAAAAGGAAATAAATGTAATAATCTTTGGTCTAAGCACATGAAGCATCTTAATCCAGGATACATGAGTAGGTAATGAGGGTTCTATAAACACCCCAACTTTTGAGACAAATTATTTTGTATGCAGGTAGAATTTGAGAAACAGATCAAGGCTTCTAGTGACTTAAAGGGGCCATAGCTCCTAAATTTTAACAATCATTAACTCAAAGCACAGCGCCAAGTGCGAGTGTTTCGTGCTCGCAGTTGTTTTTCCAGTACTGGTGGTCAAGTGTCAGGAGTTCCTATTCTGCTAATTATGGACGTCTTATTCTCCACGGCCAATGTGACTGCAGCACTTAGCAGACTGCACTATAATTATTTCTTCAGGTGTCTGTCAACTTCCCCTGGACAATGTATTCCTTTAGACCAAGGACAGTCTTTGTCTTTGACTAGCCTGTAGGAATACTAGTGTGAGCATCTGTTGAGCCTGTGAGGCACATTTCACTAGGCCAGTGACTTATTTTCCTCTGTATTTTATAAAGCTGTAGCATGACACTAGGTATATAGTTGGGCTCTGAAATGATTGTGGAACCAAACAGACATTTTTTTCTTTTACTTGGTACCAGGGATCGAACTCAGGACCTTGCCCTTGCCAGGTAGGCACTATACCACTGAGCTACCTCCCCAGTCCCAAATAGACATTTTCTACCTGGAGAATCTGTGGTTCTTGCTATCAGCTTGCCTACATTCATGCTGCTCACATGTTATCTTTAAAATGAGTTCTGAGGAGCCGGGGAGATGGCTCAGTGGAATAAGCGCTTCCCTGGCAAGTGCAAGGGCCTGAGTTCAATCCCCGGTTCTGCCCCCCAAACAATAAATAAATAAATAAATAAAATGAAATAAAATGAGCTCCGAGTTCTACAATGGAGTTGCCACCCAGTGGTCCACATGTTACAGCACTTCAGCTGTTTTACTGGGTTCCTGAAGTGTTTTCCTGTCCAACTGGGTTTCATCCACTCTTGCTTCAATTTCTTATCGAAGGTGCTGCTAAACTATCTTGCTGTATTCAGTGCTCCTCACATCCTTAAACCTGCCTTGTAGGTTATGCAACATCACAGCTTCAGCGTTGAGAACAAACACTACAGGTCTTGATGAAGAAGGTGCCCAGTCACATGAATGTAAGTACAGGAGGTAATATTTAATCTGCTTCTGCTTTCCAGAATTAGTCACTATTAAACATTTCTTTTTTTACTTTCATGTTTAAAAGGATGTCTTAAAATGTTACAACAGTTTTATATTAAAATGTTTTAGACATATAAATCTGATTATACCTCGAGTCTACTATTGCTTCTGTTTTTCAAACAACTTGACAAATGATTCTTTTAAAAATTTATAATTTAAGATTAAAAATAAAGAACTTCCTATAGGAAGAATAAATGTATCAGCACCTGTGAAAACAGCTCCAATTCTCTTTCCTCTAAGAAAAGCAATAGTTCATGCGAAAGATTTGTTTTGTCTTACGCCAGGTTCCAGCTGCTTCACTTTGTTTAAAACTGACTTCAAAGTTTAAACACTATCCTGTCCCAACAAATAACCGCCCCAGACGGACTGATCTGGAGTACCATCGCAGCGCTCTGGCTGCAACACCTGCAGCTTTTAATTCGACGTCTTATAAACCTTCCAAAGGGAAAACAGGTTTTTTCTGTTCCCTAACTTACGCTTTTTGGAGAGTTGACTTTAAAGCATGAAGGGATTTCTAAACCTCACATAAATTTATAAATAGAGGAATTAAAAACTGGTATGAGATTTTTCTACTGCTGTGAGGGAAAGATATTACAGGGAAATGAAAAAAATCCCAAGCCCCAAGTTCAGAAATGTGAAGTAAAAATCTTACCTGTAAATACAGGGGCACGGTACAGACTGGGTTCAATCTGTGTCGGATCCGTATCACCTGGTGAAGCTACAATTAAGAAAAAAAAGTGAGGTTTTTTTTTTTCCTTCCAGAAGGAAATCAGTTAAGCATAGGAATACTCATGATTCATTCCTGTTCACTGAAAGAACACAGGCCAAATGCACTCCCAGTTACTCTCATAAAACCAGGTAAACAGAAGCCTGCTCTAGTGACCTAAATGTAAAGAAGGATGTTAAACAGCTCTATTTTAACAGCCTTCAATAGGAAATACTTTACCTAATGGACTGTTATCTTTACGCATGAAAAGTGAAGGAAGGAGGAAAGGCTCAGGAATAATTTTGCAATTAAAAATAAATATAAGCTATCTATTCAAGGTTAAAACTTTGTATAATTTTTTTTTTTTTTTGCATAGATTCTTTTACCCAAGAATTTAATCACTACAAAAAGAAGTTTAAAGTCTCCCTTCTCCCTAGGTCAGTGTGGGGCACGCTGTTCAACACAGTGCACACAGAACACCCAGTAAAGCTGTCAGGAAGCAGAGAAGGACAATGCACTAAAAACCACGACAACATTTTAATAGTAAATAAAATAAACTTTATTGGGGGGAAAAAAAACCTCATTTCATGCCTAAATACTAGAAAGCAGAGAAAAGCTAAACAACTAAGGAGAAAATCTATAGCCCTGTTATAGGCGGGGTATCTGTAATCCAAAAACCTAAAACCTGAAATGTTTTAAAATCTGAAACTTTCTAACAAGAAGATATCACAGTGAAAAATTCCACACTTGACCTCATGGGATGAGTCACAGCCAAAACACAAGGACACTAAAAGCACTGTATAAAATCACGTCAGGCAGGATGGCCAAATAGCGCAGTGGATTAAAGTGCCTGCTTAGGCAGAGTGCAGTGGCCAGAGTTCGATCCCCGGCGTGCCCTGCCCCCAGGGCACACAGAGACTTCGATTGAGAATGGGCGTGGTGGTGTGAGCCTGTAATCCCAGCGCTTGGGAGGCTGAAAACAGGAGAATCACTACGAGTCCAATCTATGTAGTGAGACCCTATAGACCCTGTAGACCCTGTACCAAATACATTAAAAAAAAAAAAAGTTTAAAATCACTACAGGCTATATGAGTAAGATATATCGAAAATGGAAATAAATTTTGTGTTTAGACCTAGGCCCTATCCCAATATATCTCAGTATATATGTGAACATATTTCAAAATTCAAAAAACTGAAATAACCAACCTGTCTTGTCCCAAGCATTTTGGAAAAAGGATATTTGACCTGTAGTTCTCAAGCCAACGAAATGCCCTGGACACCAAGGGTGTCAGTCCATGTGGCCAGCACACTACTAACCTACCCTCTGAAAAACAACTGACTGGTAATCATCAATAACTACTGCTTCAAGGAAATTTGGGGGATGGCATAATAAAGGAAAAATTTAGGCACCAGTATTCAGCCCTTCTTTTCTAATTTTCTCTAAGATGAATCAATTCAGATTTTATTTCACAAAAATTTCAGATGAATTTTACAAGAAGGCAAATATTTAAATGAACAAGATCACAAGCACTGTATTTCATCACACTTGGGGAACATATTCTTAGTGGGGACATGCATATTAATCACACTTATGCTGTAGAAAGCTTCTGAAATTCAGTACTTTCAAATCTAAACCATAGAACACAAATCAATTAAAAGTTCAAAAACCAGCTTTAGGCTAAGTTGGTTTGGCACACACCCATAATACCAGCACTTGGGAGGCTGAGGCAGGAGAACTGACACAAGTTCAAAGCCAGCCCGAGCTACACAATGAGACAGTGAGTTCAGGGCCTGCCTGAACTACACAGCAAGACCCTGTTTTAAAAATACCCTCCCCCCAATAAAAGCAGTTTTACAACAAAATGTAACTTTACAAAGATAAGAATATGGATAAAGATAAAAATGTGGCAAACACAAGTGACTCAAACATATGTGAAATCTGGGCTGGGGATAAAGCTCAGTGGGCACAGAACCTGCCTGGCAAGCAAAAGGTCCTGAATTCAATTCCCCTTACAAAAAAAAAAAAAAAAAAAAAAAAAAAAAGTAAAATTTGCAAACAGACCAAAATTGAACATTCAACTTTTTTGATAGTTTTTCAAAAATCTTTAAATACTTTAACAGTGCTTACTGTAATATGTAGTTATCAAAAACACAGTGAATATTTAAATATAAAATAACTACAGTAAAAGATACATTGCAATCAACTCTTTCAAAGTACCCCCATCACTCCAAACACACTTAATTCCATCACTCTTGCCACTTTCCATAGCAGTTCTGGAAGTCTTCCTTCTTAAGTGGCTGTTTGTGGCTGCCTTGATATCTTGAATTGATTCAAAATATTTATGGTAATTTCTGTCAAATAAAATCCTGTGACACATCCTCATCTATCTTATTCACAGGACTGGATAGCACACAATTTCTGGTTCTTTCCGAAGCCAAAATGACCATGAAAGGCAAGCATTTTGAATGGATTCAGGACACTGACATAGTCACAGTGGAGCGACCAAAGACACTCTTAGAAGAGATCTTCCAGAACTGCCTAAGAAAGTGGCAAGAACAATGGGACAAGTGTGCACAAATCCAGGGTGAGCACTGTATCTTGAGGTGGACTGATGGCAGTATGCTTTTTAGTGTAATAAAGCCAAATGGTTAGTGTGATGTTCACCACAGTTTTGATCACGTGTCATATTAACTAGCAGATGCTTTCTTTATTTACCGGCATTCTGGCTCTAAGTTCCCAGGAGTTACACGGGGGGAAGGAAGTTACTGCTTGGTCCCTCTGGCCTAGCACAGCAGCCTTGCAGATGGCGCACCACCGCACACACAGTACAAACACAGGCTCCAGGTCCCTCCCACTGGAGAAACATTTGTTTGGATCAGTCTTTTCTGAGTCCCGTCTGGTTCCTCAGAGGTAAAATAAGAGTACTACCTACCTAACCAAGTAGAATGAGGATCTCAGTAGAGTATATCACAGAGGAAAAGTACACAAATGGTTACTTAAATTGTTAGCATTATAAACATAAAACTTTTCATTCACAATGGGAAAAGATTCCTGATTTATGGAATAAAGCACAAGACTTTTTAGATTTTTTTTACTAACAATAAAGAAATCTCTACTATCCCAATATTCAAATTGTAACTTCCTTAACCTCACTTATGATAAGATAGGTGCACTGGAGACTGAGTACTGAGGTCTGCAGTTGAGAGTTAACGTAGAAAACCTACAATCAAGTCAACACAATTTGAAAACTGCCTTCAAATATGGATTTTTACATTTCCTCAACTTGCTTCTCAAATTGAAGAAATAATAGTTGCTGGGATTTAAGCCAAAGGATGAGAAAACAGTCATTTAATCTATACATTTCTATTGATTTTCTACACCAATTTTGCACAGGTAATATTGAACAGAAATTGAGTCATACTTAGGTATATAACTTATCCTTTTCACCTTTACCACAAAAGCAGACTTGTTAACCTTGTACCACAAAATAAAGAACGAGTGATCTCTGATTTGAAAATGGAATCCCAGGCTGGGAAAACAAGGGCATTGGTGGAAAAGCTTTAAATGAAGGTACACAGGACACTGGGTCTGTGCCAGTTGGATACACTGGGTACACTGGGTTTGCACACTGTGCTTTCTCCAAATGTTCACCTTATCACAATACTTTAGAGATTCACTTCAAATAATCAGCCAACATCTTTTGTATATTGTTCTGTTTATTTTTTTATTTTTTTTATTTTTTTTATTTTTTATTTTTTTTGGTGGAACCAGGGATTGAACTCAAGCTCTTGCGCTTGCCAGGGAAGCGCTTATTCCACTGAGTCATCTCCCTGGCCCCCAAGCCAACATCTTTTGTGCAAATTAAAAGTAATCTGTGGGTTGGGTATGTAACTCAACGGCAGAGTGCTTGCCTGGCACTCCATGTACACAGGGAGGAGAGAGGAAGAAAGAATGGGGGGGAGAAGAAAAGAAAGTGAGCTACATTATAATCAGCCCACAAGCTCTTAAACTATTTGGATTTTAAAGGACAGGAATCTGAGCTTTATACTATTTGTAATAGTATTTCTTAAAATTTCTTTTTGGCTTAAAAGTTTGATCTTCCATGTCTTTAAAGCTGTATTTAGTAAGATTCACTAAGATAGCAATATTTAAATCAGTAACTATATGACTATTTTAAGCAACTTTTATAGATTATCCTCTTTTAACTGTAAAGCAAAAATATAAAGATGATCCTCAAAATATATTTTGAACCCACAGAATAAAAACTTTTTAACTTTTGAAATGGATATCCAAGAATATAAAACAATATTTAACAAAGTGGCATCTAAACTTAGCAACTCTCAAGATACCTGCATTCTGAAATAGTAATCTGAAATTATTAAAATAAAACTAGGAATATTTGAGTATTTAAAAATCTATAAAAATCAGTTGCCTACTTTTGAGGCAATCTTCCAAATTAAGTTACTCACTGATTGTGTATCCGGTAGGTGCACCAACTTTTTCAAATGACAATAGACATGGTTCTTAGCCACATAACAACTCCAAATCCCAAAAAGTCAACTGCTGACTCATCCTATCCCAAATGCAGAGCATGATTTATCTGAATAATGTTCCCTTCACTGTTAAAACTCACTGAAAAGCATGTAAGGACTTGAGTGTACTGCTATGTACTGTTGTAACAAAGTGCCTGCCTTTTAGGGGCAAGAATGTCTAGCAGGACATTCCAACATTAAAATCTGATTGAGAACAGAGAGAGACCATGTTTTAGTAGACAACTTTATCTACAACACACTTCCTGTTAGTTCAATGGCTTGTGAAATAGCTACTAAAACAAGTTCCTCTCAGATAATTCTTTATAAAAGCATGCAATAATGGTCAAAAACTAAATGAATCTTAAAAATGACAACAGGTCTGCCATGTGAAAGAAGCCATACTAACAGTATGACTGCATGTATAAAAGCACAAAAACAAGAGCAATAATCTTTGCTCTTAGAAGTCAGAATAACATTTA